TAAATTATTGAGATATTAGCAGTTTTGTGATGGACGAATTTTATTTAAGTTTGTGTAAAGGATTTACAGAAAGAGTTCCCTACCTGCGGGAACATTTAAGAACAAAACAAAGGGAAGGCATTTATAAAATATCATGGAAGGAACTTATCCGAATTGCGAAAGAAATTACACTTAGATTAAACCACTTACATGACGAGAATATAGTTCATAAGGATCATAAGGATCTAGTTAGTCAATTTTTTATGTTTAGTATAATTTTTGGATAAATCTAATTTATTTAAATGTTTTTTACATTAAATTTTTAGCATCCTATGAATGTTTTGATACATAACGATCATGCTTTGATTACAGATTTTTGTTTGTCAAGACAATTAACTGGTTCCATATTGACTAATCCAGATAATGGGCCAGAATCTTTTCAATATGCATATATTGAACCACAAGATCTTCTCGAGCCTCAGAAAAAATTCAAAGATAAAAAATCCGATATATATAGCTTTGGTATATTGTTGTGGGAACTTTCAAGTGGCGTTAGTCCATTTGATCAATTTAATCAGCTCACCATTTTTTTTAAAATTTTAAACAATAAAAGAGAAAAAACTATTACTGAAACACCCAAAGCTTATGCCGACCTCTACAAAAAATGTTGGTCTACTGAGCCGGATGAACGTCCAGAATTGAAGGATATTTTATGAAATCTTAATCAGCTATCAGTAGTATAGCCCAAATTGGCAGCTTTCTTGCAGTCCCATACTATTACCCAAGTCAGCAGATTTTTGATAATAAATAAATGTTTTATTTTCGTCCTTTTCAACTCCAAATCCATTTCCATAACAATCACCAACATGAAATATTCCATTGAAAAAACTGTGCATTTTTCACGAATATATCAACATATTAATATCATCAATATTCATAGAGTCATTTTCGCATAATATCAACGTTAATTAGTTTTTCCAATTTTTGTAAATAAATTCTTGAACAAAAAAAATAAGTCTTCTTTAGTGTCAAAATTCTTTGTACTTTACTGTAAAGGTCTTTTGTCTGAATGGTTAATTTTTGTACTATAATTAGAGCTCTTACGCAAAAACTGTGTATTTTTGTGAATATAGCATTTTTTTAAATGCCTCCAAACCTACTACTCATTTTCTAATTTTAATTGTCACCATCTTTGTGCAAAAATTTTCTCATTTTATTATCAAAAAAGGTTTAAATCAAATACATTATAAGGGAACTGACACCAACTATTTAATTTAACCGAATTACTGTAAGTTCGAATACATTTTTGTGAATGAATTAATCATTGCAAGTATTATTTGCTCGTTCATGTTCATGCAGCTAAATACAACAGGTAAGTTGGCAGGTCTTAAAAATAAAATTTTATAATTTTTATGGTTTTTTGTGAATGACGCGTAAAAATTCTTTGAGGAAACATGCAATAATTATATATTTTAATGTACCTGGTAAAGAGCCCAAATTACGCAGTTTCAACGATTTTTTATTGTTTAAACAATAAAAAATCGTTGAAACTGCGTAATCTGGGCTCTCTATACACGGTTCCTTTTTATAACTAGCAAAATTCTTTGAGCAATTCGTAAGCGCATTCATTTCAAAATGATTATCCGTATAAAAGCTTTAATTTAAATTTATTGATTGTACCCATTATTCATTTTTAAAACAAGATTTTTTCATGAATGTCCTCAATCCTTTAGATAATTAAACAAGTTATTTATTACTTGAACATATTAAAAAATTATATTACAAAGAAAAAACATTTGATAAATTAAACAATAGGAAAATCGCTGATACCGTGAAGAGCCATCAGACATTTACAAATAAGCTTCTATATTTTAGTTAGGAAGGTTCGAATTACAGTATATATTTTATTATTCTCAATATTATGAATATATTTCGTAACCTATGCAAAATAATTAAATAAAGTTATGAATTTAACATCTACTTTATAAAAAATAAATATAGGATGAATCTAAGTCTAATATATTGAATCTATTTAATATGCACAAACCCAGTCATTTTTTCAGCAAAAAAATCTTTTAGTTGTACTATTATATTCCAATTAGATTTGTCGACTCCAAAAGTTCCATGCACAATTGGCTCATAAGAAAAAATGAATTTAATGCGATTAAAGAATCATGAAAAGTTCTAAAGGTCACAACAACGATTACGTTATTTTGTAAAAATCATAGTAAAGTCTTTTCTCTAAAATTTATTTTTGCAAATGACAATAAAGCAAATAACTAATTGAAAGAACAAAATTAAATTCAAATCAAATAGATGTACAGAAATTTTTAAAGCGCGATATTTGAATTTAAGAAATGAAATTTATTTCATTATAAAGCAAATTTAAGACTCGGAGCGAATCACTTATTATTATCATCGTAAATAATATAAACGGATTGAGTCTCAAGAAATATTTATAAACCAATCTTATATAATACTTACGTTTTTTTATAATTGCTTACAACTCTGAAAACAGCATCATTATTTTTGTATTCTTTAAGTTCATCAACTAGACATTTATGCTTCAAGAGTAAGTTACGATTCAGTCCTTCAGCGTTATTAAATACATTACCACACTGGAAATTATGCTTTGAGAAATTATTTTTTTAAATTTCAGAACTAATCGCAGTGCTAACGATTTTATAATTTTTAATTTCATTTTTCAAGCGCTTAATGTCTTCGACCAATTTAATATTTTTTTGATTGTTTTCTTTTAAAGCTATAAATAAATGAATATAATTCATTAGATGCATTAGGAATTTGCTATTTCTGCTCAATTGCCAGTTTATAGAAATAAAATCATATTCTTACTTTGGTTGGGAACCAAGTACTGATCAGTATTTTCGAAAGACATTATTACAAAAAATCTGTCTAATAAATTCCTAGATAAACAACAATAAATAATGAGTTTTTATAAACTAAAATAGCACCGAATTCTGCTGCATGTTATTTATGTAATAATCCACACTAGCTAAATTCTATTTGAATTTTTTTTAAAAAGATTATTACCTAGGTATCCAAGAGAAGGATCTTTCTTGTAAGAAAAAGAAAAGGGATTAATGAGCGAGCTAATTTATCAGATTTCAGTTTGATGAAGTCTGTATAAACAAGATAAATGTGTATCGGGTGTATTGGACATCGGATCCATCATCATCCTATTATTAGATATACTGTAAACATAAAATAATAAACAATATAATTTAATACTCTTAGCATTAAATCTTTAAAAAACAAGTTTAAGAAATATATAAGATCTGCAATATGCTATATATACAGTAACATATATACTAGTTTACTATGCATAATATAGTGAAAAAAAATAAAAATTTGCTTTCCCGATAGTAATATGAGAAATATATAGAGCTAATAATTTTTACAGTATTGAGCATATATACTATTGATATATTTTGAATAAAATTAAAATTACTGAAACTCATCAGGGCGGTTTTTGACGTTTGATAAGATTTTAAAATTCACAACGATTCGGTATCCACCATGTTTAATTTCAAGAGTCAAAGTTTCAAGTTCGAAGCTTAGGAAAGAGAAGTTGTTTCTGTTTTAATCAATAATTATAACGATGAATTTCAAAAAAGAGAAAGCGAAATTCTTGACGATATTATTATGGAATCTAAAGAATGGCTTTACCGTAAACAAACCGAAACTATTGGATATTATCCGGTGCTTTCTGAAAAATTAAAAGAAATCGAAGAAAAAGATAATGAAACTAAACTTCACAGGATAAAGAAGTTTCAGCAATTAGTTCAAGAAAGAGAACTTAAAAGAAAAAGTATTGCCGACAACTATATGCAAAATTATCTTAATTCATTGCAAAAGCTTAAATCTGAGACCTAAATGATTTGGTTTGAACATTGTGTTTCATTATTATTTGATAAAAATTTATCCCAAATAAACTCAATAAAAGATAAATATTTGTACCTTTTATTACCACAGTTAAACAATAATTAGGTTGAATATACGTTAATGTTTCTTTGAGATGTTATTTAAATTGTTCAATTGAAGTAATTTAATGCAAATTATTATTAGATGAACTGTCTGGGCGACAGTCTTAGAGCTTTAATTAACATGTGGTAGAGATATTAAGTGCAACATATTTGTTTACGACTTTATATCCCTCGAAAAACAGTCATCTAAGAAATTGACATGACATTTGGAAAACAGTCAAAATAATTAATAAAGAATTGAAATTTATGTTAACAATAAAAGATGCTGGTGAATTCTACGTAGCATGCTCAAATCAAACTCGTATGTGTTTCATGGTGCATCATTACAAAAAATGAGGTCAATAGTTATTTGATTTTGAGTAAACAAAATTGAAAGGTTGTTGTTTTTGCGCGTAAATTTTTATTATTCTTTATAATTTTCTTGGTACTAAGGCCGTTTAAAGTTAATTAGTTGGTTAATGTCAAAATTTTGGGCTCGGGCAAGGGGTTTAAACAAATACATAATTTAAACAATATATGCGCTACAGAGTATTTGATTAAATTTCACTAGACAGCTACGTGACAGAGTTATGCATGACCAGAAACATGAAATATAATAATTTTTTTATTTTAATTCTACAAAAGTATAGGATTAAAATAAAAATTTTTAACCAAATTTGATCAAGTCGTTGTTGAAAAACCTTCGCTAGAAGTTTAAAATTTCTAGATGATTGCTAAATTTTAATCACATGATTATTAAGCTTATCCTGTGCTGTGATTGGCTTGTTTAATTTCAGGTGGATTGCTAATTGGGAGGAAGGATGACGTTACCAACTAATTAATTTTAAACGGTCTAAGTGTTTAAAATAGATTGTTTAAATGTTTATTGTGAGTAATGGTGCGTCTTTAGACGGATTTTTAGTGTTTTGATTACGAAGTTTCTGTATAGATGCTTGATGAACCTATTTTTTGCCATTAACGAATTGACGAATTGATGAATCTATAAGGTTTCGTCAGGTCAGTGAGTTTCGTCAAGCATCAGTGAAAGGAAGCCTTGTAATGCTTATTAAACTCTGAGTTTTGAGTTAGTTGCATGATCATAGAATCATTTTTATTAAGAGAAACATCCAAATTCTGCCTGCTTAGCAAATCTGAAAAAAAGAATATGTGAAATTGAACTTATCATGTGACGGGTCGTACACGTGATCTGTTAACATATCAATATATTAATACACGTTTTGATTTCATAGAAATCAAATATCCAACCATTAACAACTTTTAAAGTTCACAAAATGAATTGCATTATCAATTTTCTCATTCAAGTTGCTGTAACTATAGCGGTTTTGTTGATTGTATTAGCAATAATTATTAGTCAAGACAAGCCAGGTACAGATAAATTGAACTTGCTACTAAAGTTTTTGTTTAAAGATGATGACGACTCATAACTTTTTTACTGAATACGTTAAATCATAGCGATAATCATTACTAACACAAGTATCAGAATTATTGAATATTCAAGAAGTCAAAATGGAACAATTTTAACTCAAGATGTAATCGAAGCTGCTAAGATCGTGAAATTTTTGCTTATAGCATTAATTTACTATGCAAAAGTGCTCTATTATTATTGTAAAGAGCAATTTGTCATGAACATATTCTAGTTTTGAGCAATTCTTTTACTAGATAATTTTTGATTCAAAATTGATTGTAAATTGCAATAGTTATTAATAATCTAAATTAGTAAAAAGCAAATTTTTATAAACTCATTAACCTTGAAGATTTATTTCTAATTGTTAAAATGTGCATCAATTTTATTTTACTGATGTCCTATTATTTTCACAAAACAATTATTAATCCTAAAAACAATATTTTTTACTCAAGAATTTTTATAATTTGCATGCCACTTGTTGATATGCTCGGCAAAATACTTTCCTAATTTTAAAATAGGAAGAATCGATGCAAACTGGCTAAAAATTTTTAAATTCACTAAAATAGTTTCACTATCATAAGTGAATTCTAAAATCTTAAACTGTGTGTTACGAATAATGATAAACACCACAACTATTGCTAAACCAAAGGCAATAATATATCCATATTTTCACGAGAAACAGCAGTTGATGTTAGTGCAATTTAAAATACGTTGATCAGTAGTTGTATCTTGATTAGAGGTTAAGTTTTGGCTAGTGAATCGATTAGAATTAATTATCTGGTTATTAATTTGAGAAATGGATACATTTGTTTGCTTAGAGAAATTACTCTTCATGCAAGTTTCACAAATATTGATGCTTGATGATAATTCTTGATTAAAAAAATTTCTCCTCTTGCAAGAATCACAAATATTGATTTGATGGATGCTCGATGATTCTTGCCTTTGATTAGTAATTGCGTTAGTCGGGTGAGAATTGGTAGTAGTAGCATTATTTTGACTATTTTGACTGATTTGCTGAATGCTCGATGATTCTTGATTTGAATTAGTAGTTGCGTTGGTTGGGGGAACAGATGGTTGTGGCTGAGTTGGATTTTGAGAATTGGCCTGAAAAGTAGCAGTATCATTGTTATGGTGCTGAAGTGTATTGGTAAGCATATGTTGAATAGTAGAAGTAGTATTAGATAAGTTTCGCATCATCGTAATCATTTCTTGATGTTGCGAAAAATTTGTTGTTGTAAGTTTTGATTAAAGTTGAATAGTGCATGCTAGATATGTTGATTCAAATTGTAAACAATTTGTTGATGGGTTTGATCATTGATATGATTAAAATTGGTTTGTGCATGCTGGTGTTAATTCATATTGTGAACAATTTGTTGAAGGCTTTGACCCTTGATACCATTGATATGATTAATATTAGTTTGTGTATGATGGATAGGTTGATTCATATTGTGAACAATTTGTTGAGGGCTTTGACCGTTAATACCGTTGATATGATTATTAGATTGTG